AAACCTACCTGGCCCTATGTTCAGTTTCACTAGCCACACCCAGACCTGATCACTAAAGTCTCCAACAGTGCATTGACTCATCCAAGAGGTCACAAAAGAACCCAGGATAACATCTGAAGGACTGCAGGACTCACTTGCTTCAGTTGAGGTAGTTCAGGTGTAGTTGAGGTGTTCACGATTCAACAATAAGAAAAAGACTGGGCAAAAATGGCATCGTCATTAACTGCTGTGGCAGCGCTAATTAGCTGCATAATCATCATACATGGCTCTCTTGTATTAGAAATAAGAAATATTGTTTGAATTGCCAACTTGCTCGTGGAAACAAATGAACTATATGTTAATGGTACTACACTACAGTGAGTTAATGGTGCCATATTTCTGATTCAGAAGCATCGAAGTTCCAGCACCAGCACAAACTGTTAAATATCTGTCATGATGCTCTGTCGGCACTAGATGACAGTGTAGGAGAAGATGTTTTTCTTGAGGCAAACATAACCGAGCATGGCTGATACTAGAAGAACAATGGGGAAGGAAATTAGCAAGGGATGGTGTAAGTGATAAGAAAGATGAATGGATAAAGGCAGGGAGGAGAAAAAATTACAAAGGTCATAGAGATTACTTAGCAAAGCTTTAGAGCTAGTGGGACTGGGGGTAAGATGAGGGTGTCGACCCTCTCCTTGGGGGCATCAGTGGTGGTTGATACGGAAGAGCTGGCCCTGTAGCAAGAAAAGGATGAAAGGAGGGAGAAGGCAGGTGACATAATGAATAACATGGAAGCAACTTGACAGACAGTAATGCAGTGAAAATAAGAAAGAAGTGTGAAATTATAAATGTGAGAGGAAGATTTGGAGAGAGTAGTTTTATATCACAGCAGTGTAAGAATGACCTCAGGAAGAATAGCTGCTGAAGTGCTTCAGCTAATGCTGGTTCTAATGAACTGAAGTTGCCCAGCTGGCTCTGCTCAAACAAGAATAACGACACGTATTTTGTCTCTTGGATTATTCTATAGTTCCATACATGCACATGTATGTATAGAACTATAGAATAGAATGCCTTTTATTGTCACTATACACATCAACAATGAGATAAAGAGCATCTCCTACTCAGTGCAGACCTGTGGGGAAAGGAGGGAGGGTACACAGTTCTGCAGCACTATATACATATGAACCCTATATAAATATATAAAATGAACAAATATGCAAATAAATAGTGTTACGTGTGGTTATTGAATGAAGTATTGCACAGTGGTGATGGTAGTTGTGTAGTCTGTGTAAAGAGGGAAGTCCTTGGATTTGGGGAGGAGAACTTTTTTGGGAAGAAACCATTCGTGAGTCCGTCAGTGTTTGGGCTGATGCACCTATAGCGCCTCCCTGAGGAAGCAGGTTGAACAGGTCAAAATCAGTAGGCCTATATATGTGTATAGCATGTACCATTAATATGGGTTTGGTTTCTTACCATATGAGCTAGCCATGTTTTATTAAGTGTGTGAACGGGGCGTGTAGTGTAAAATGCTTTGAGTGCTCAAGCGAGGTAAAAAAAGCACTATAATAGAACCAGTCCCGTTACATTTACTGATACACCACTACTACTGTTACTACCTCTTCAGCTGCTCCTGACACTGCCAGCAGTAGAAATTAAACATGAGTAAGCATTAGGGCTGCCACGATTAGTCGACTAGTCGCGATTACGTCGACTATCAAAATCGTCGACGACTGATTTAATAGTCGACGCGTCGTTTGAAGCTTTGTAAGATCACAAAGG